GGGGGCGGGGACGCTCAGGGAGGGACCCGGACATGGAAGGTCACGCGGGGTGTGAGTCCATGTGGGTGACACGTCCAGAACGGGCTCATCCACAGACGGGAAGGGGGCTCTCGGGGGCAGGGGCTGGGGAGGGGGATGCGGGTGGGGAAGGGGCTTCTTTTTGCGGTGATAGACTATTCTGGAACTAGATAGTGGTTATGCTGGCACAACCTTATGAAGATACAAAATTCCACCGAATTGTACGCCTTCAACAAGGGGGCCCCGTGGAGCATGAAGTCTATCTCAATAAAGCTGGTATCAGACAAACGCAACCCACCCGCACTCGGCCGCACACTCCTTGAGACTCACTCAACTCCCTTCCTGTCACTTGACTTAAAAAACAGAAATCAGAGTCCTAAATGCTGCTTCCTAATTACGCTGCATCCGCCGTGACCCCTCCCCCCTCACCACCTCCAGAATGGTCAAAGGGTCAGCCTGGACCCCTCTGGCACGGGGGCGCCCCCCACCTCCCAGGGGCCTGCTGCTGGCCCCCAGAGCCCCCAGCCTTTTGTCCCCTCCCACACTGTGTGTCAGGACTGAATCTGACAGGCCACCCAAGGAAATTCTGAGTCGTGACTTTCAGTTTCTGAAAGGACCGGCCCAAACGCAGCAGAGCATTTGCTGCCGAGTCCAGGCGGTGGGCACATGGGCGGCTCGCTGGGCAATCCTGGCAGGCCTTTCTCTATGTTTGAACATTTTTGTGATGAAATGCTGGAAAACCCACCCAACCAGCGGCTGGGCTGAGGAGTCTGTTTCGAGAACACCACCCCCCGCCCCCCACCTGGCCACAACCCACGCAGCTGCCCTGGATGGCAGTGGCCTGGGGAGCTGTCCCCAGAAGCCTCAGGACCATCTGCGGACCGCGGGGCGCAGTTACCGTGACCCAGGGGGACAGGTGGTGCTGAGGGGGGCCGGAGGGGAGGCAGCTGCCGCCACCGGGCGCGACTCTCCCCCCATGCGGATCACGGCCTGTCCCAGCCCAGAGTTCCAGAGTGAGGTCGTACCGCTGACGGGGCGTCCAGGGGGTTTCGGCCGTGGCGAGATGCTGTGAGGCTCTCCTTCTGCCCCGTCCACCACGGGCCGGCCAAATATGGCCTCTAGCTCCTTGGCATCTGGTGGGGGGATGGGGTACCTTCCGATGGACAGCTCCACCAGGGACAGGCCCATGCTCCAGATGTCCGACTGCACCGAGTAGTGCGTGCCCTGCAGCCGCTCTGGCTGTCGGCGAGAGAGAGCAGAGAGACGCCCCGAGGGACGCTGGGGCCCGGGAGTGCTCGCGGGGTTCCCCCCACAGCCCCATCTGGGCCCCAGGCCGCCCTCCAGAGACCCAGCACCTCCGTCTCGTCCCTGCCCCCGCCGCGGGACCGCCACGGCCCAGCCAGTGCTGACAACAGTGCTCAAAACCCAAATCGGCCCAGGAGGCAGCGGGGTGCCTCCGTTTCCGCAACAATCCCAAGACTAGCTTCTCAGAGTCTGCTCCTGATATCACCCAGACGCTTCCTGAGATATCTGGGGGGTAGTTTCTTGGCTCAGAGATTGACTACCTGCTCCCCTGGACTAGTCTCTTCCTGCTAGAGGGAAGCCACTGGGCGGGCATTTGCAGAGAAAACCCTGAGCCGCAACTAGAATCTGGACGTAAAGGAGAAACCGAGTGGAAACAGAAAGTGTACTAGGAGAACCGCAGGCTTTGGAAAAGCTTCTGGAAAACGGAACAGCTGACAGGATGGGGGAGGGTACAGATGCCCTCACACCCAATGGACTTACAGACATGTAGGACCGAGTTCCCACAAAGGAGTTGGCCATGGAGTCGATGAGCTGCCCGCTCACCCCAAAATCGCACAGCTTAATCTCCCCTCGGGAGTTGACGAGGATGTTGGAAGGTTTCACGTCTGAGGACAGAGCCAGCGGCAGGTGAGGGGGGCCTGACCTGCCTGCCAGCTCCACCCGACCCCCAGACGCCCCCATCCGGCTCACCTCGGTGCATGATCTGGTGCTTTTCCCGGAGATACGCCAAACCCCGAAGAACCTGCGGGGGAGCCCCAGGGAGGGGTCAGCAGGGCAGCGCCACGGGCAGACCTGAGAGGCCGCACGTCTGGGACAAGCTCAGGGAGCCCACATTGAGGGCCGGGGGCAAGTGAGAAGGGTGGCAGGGACGGCCATACCGTCCCAGGCCAGTGGGCAGATGCCCGGCTCACCCGCCCTCACCACCCTGCCCCGAAGGTCACACAGGCCCAGTGGGCACTGGCTGGTGAGCGCTTCTGTGCTGGGTTTACGTGGAGGCCCCGCAGACAGATGGCTGTTTCACCAAGGCTGGGACCCTGCCACTCGGGCCGCGGGCACCCCCGACGCCTATATAGGGCAGGGAAGCATCACTCCTGTTTTATGGGCCACGAGACGCCGCGTGCCAGGCCCGCAGCTGGCAGAGATGGGCGTGGGCTGCTCCGACCCTGGCCACGTGAACAGGGTGGGGTAAGAACAAACCCGGCAGAGCACATGGCCAGGAGCCACTTACCGCAATGCTGACCTTCCCCAAGATCTCCTCGGGAATTCTCTTGGCTTCTTTTAACACCTGATCCAGAGAACCGCCATCCTAGGGTCAGCACAGGAAAGAAAAAGCAGGCCGTGCTGAGCAGTCGGCCGGGCAGGGCCTGCAGGGCACAGGAGGACTCCCAGAGGGACACCGGGGCGGCAGGTATAAAAGCGAAGCACTTCCCCGCTTCCCGGTGAGCTGCAGCTCAATTTCCTCCATAGGAAACGGAGGCCAGACCACAGCCAAACGCAACCCGCTGGCCCAGAGTGGGGCCTCCTTTGGGCCCTGCCACCTCTGGGGCCTCTACGCGGCCCATCCAGTAAGGAAGGAACAAGGGTGCCAGCATGCTCCCTCGGCGGCCCGGCCCCTTCCCCAGGTTGCCACGGCAGCAGCGGTAGGAGCGCAGCTGCTGGGCTTGCAACCTGAGCAACCGCGAAGCCTGCTTCCGGGGCCTGGGTTCTACTCCCGCCAGCCCATGGCAGCCCCACTACACGGGGGATGGAGAGCCCAGAGGAGCCAGGGCAGGAGAACGCAGGCCAAGCCGCTGCTGCCCACTGCTCCCCATTCCCCTGCCCCTGGCCCCGAGGTCCTGTGTTCGCCGCCACGCACTGGTGAGTCCTGCAAAGGATGGGATGCAGGTCCTCCCGGTCAGCTCCCCACCCCAGGCCTGGCCTCAAATCCACAGGTCATCTGACAGCAAACCTGGAGACCAAACCCAGGCCGGGGTCCCCGCCGGGCCCCCCGGAACGCTAGGTGGACACACCGAACTGAACCTGGGAGCAGGTGCTTTCTCTCCCATGCTGCTCCAGGCCACCTACAGCCACACAGCTCCAGCCGCCAGAGGAGAGGGGAGGGGCCCGGGGAGGTTGGGGGGAAGCCTGCAGTCCCAGGGATGCTGGGGCCTCCTGTCTCAGCACTTCTGCCCCAACCTTGCTCAGTTAGAAAGGCCGTGGGTGGGGAGTTCTAGAAAATCCAACACCCTGTGAAGCTTCTACAACCTGCATGTGACTCTGGATTAGCTCCAGACTGAGGGTGCGGGACTGAGCACAGAGGGTGGCTGTGCCCGAGGAGAAAACCACGGGGCCAGCGTTGCTGGCTCTGCCCAGTGGGGGGCTTGATCCTTTGACCCTGAGATCATGACCCAAGCCGAAACCTGCAGGGCCTGCAGGACCAGAGGAAATGCATTCTATTCTCGTTTCTCCCCTGTATCACCCAACCTTAAAAGAATACAAAAAAAATCTTTTTAAACTATGACCCTGCTTCCCAACACAGCTCCTTTCGTTCTGAACGTTTATGGAGCTGTGATAGGTTTATATATGAAGACGGACGTCTGGCGGGAGCGTCCACAGAGGGGCCATGATAGGCCAGGCCCTGTGTGGGGCGCCTCGGTGAGCGGACCGTTCTGCGCTCTCTCTCTGGCTGGCTCTGCCCCACCCCACCCCTCGTGCCGAGCACAGATGTCCCCAACGTGGCCCAGTGTCCCCTGGGGCGGGATCACTTCCGGATGAGACCCCCAGGTCCATACTAAGAAGAGCGTGAGTTGCTCAAGTCACATCGACAGGAAGTGGTCCAGGAGATAGCACAACTGGGTCCCTCTGACCCCAAATCTCACACCCTGTGCAGTGTCACACGTTTTCATTTTGTGTATGTGTTCTAAATATTCCGGAAATCGTGCTTTTATTAAGTTAAGTGGTACATGAATACCATTTTATAAAAAAACTCAACTGCAGGGGCGCCTGGGTGGCTCAGTCGGTGAAGCGTCTGACTTTTGGTTTCGGCTCGGGTCATGATCTCAGGGTCAAAGGATCAAGCCCCCCACTGGGCTCTGTGTTCGGCGCGGAGTCTGCTTGAGACTCTCCCTCTGCCCCTTCCCCTGTTCACACACTCTCTCTCTCTCTCTCTCAAAACAAGAACAATTATAGGTAAGTAACACTCTCATCTCCCAAAAATTCCACCTGCCTCCCCTGAAGTGTGACTTTCAGATCCTTCTGTGTATTTGCATATGCATCCATATGCACTGGGAAACAGACTTTAGGGCTCACATTATGCATACTTTCTCCCTCGGCACATACACACCACCTCGTTTCTCCACTGCCAAGTGGCCCGTTATCGCTCTCTACCTCTCCCTTACCGGCAGATGTGTGATTTTTCACTATTACAGAACAAGGAGGCATATGCTTCAGATGTGACTAGACCCCAAGAAACACCAACAGGTGCCTCTGAATGGTCAGTAAGCTGCCCCCCAAGATAACCGCCGTCTGCAGGGTCCATGCCTGGAGTTGCCCCAGTGATAGCCCAAGGCCCCGGGGAAACCACCGCCCGCTCTCTCTAAGCCCCAGACACTGGACCAGTGAGTTCACCCTTCTGTGCTGAGTCTGGGCTGCTCATCACCAACTCAGGGTCTTTGCTTGCAAGCCGGGGCTGGAATCGACCAGTCAGAAACATGGGCCAATCCACATCCAAACCTGCACAGAGATGAAGTCTCACCCTCTGCTCGCTGCTCCAGATGCTGCAGGAAGACTGGCTCCCCCCCACCCCAGCCCCAGGACTCAGGCACGGGCACCCCTCAGCTCTACAGGTGGAGGGGGGAGAACCTGGTCCCAGGTCACGCTATTAGGAGGTTAGCGGTGGAGTGCACGCCTGACCCCAGGCTGTCCCCCACTACGGCACGCAAACGAACATCGCAGAAATGTCATGCACGCACGGAAATGCCCTGGGCACGTGGCGCGGTTCCGGAGCGGATTAGGTGACGTGGAAACACTGTGAAGGGCGGTGGGGCGGGGGCTACCTCGCCCTTCTGGTACTTTTACATCATTTTATTCTCCTCGCCCCTTTCTTGCACGCAGCGCCCCCTCCTGGGTGCTGAGCCGCCCAGTCTCATCGCTAACTCGAGAACAACGGCATCCGATCTTGGCGCCCGGGGAGCGCAGGTGCACGCCTCACCTGACAGCCGCCAGGGCACTATTCCCTCGCTCCGCTGCCCTCCTACGCCCAGCACAAAAGCACACCAAAAAACCCAACTAGGAATTTGCAGAGGATGAGCACAATAAACCACTGGGATCACCTCCCCCTGCATCAGTGTGGCTCGCTCCTCGCTCCTCGTGCGGACGCCTCATGCAGGAAACCCTTCAAGTTCACTGAGAACAAAAGCAGAAGGCAGGCCAGCCTGTGACGCTCCCCCTCCTCCAGAAGCGCAAGAGGCACCTCCGAACTCCCACGGGGTTCAGGGAGAACAGGGAGGGGAGGCGGAGGGACTCCCCGTCCGGCAGTGAGCGCCAGGCAGCCGGTGGGTCCCACTTCCGTCTCCCTTTGTAGGGGCAGACAGGCTGCAGTGGGGCGCTGCCGGGCGGGGGGCCTGGGGCCAGGTAGGGGCGGGGGGGGGGAGGGTAGCACCTTCTCCAGGGCACGGTGACACCACGCGGCCACTCTCGATACATTCCTCACGGGCGCTTGCTCAAATTCACTTCCTGCCTCCGTTACAAAACCGTCAGGGGGGAGAGCGCCGCGCCTGTGAGGCGTAACCCAAGCTGCTGGGCCTAAGGCCACCGCATCCTGGTTTTGCAAGGGCCCCGAAGGGCCTGAGCCTGGATGGCCGGGGGGCAGGCAGCCCCGTACCTGACAAATCAGGCTCCGCACGGGGTCGGCAGCATTTCCTCCCAGGGCCCTCAGCTCTGACCACTTCTGCTTTCGCTATCCCCGATCCCACCCATTTCTGAGGTTCAAGACCAGAGTTTCTTAACAAGGGGGCTCATCAGAATCAACCATGGTGGTTTGAAACAAGATCGGTTCCTGTGTTCCACCCCAGAGCGTCTGATTCCACAGACCTGAGCTGGGCTGCAAAGCCGGGCCTCGCCTTGAACAGAGCACCCAGATCACTGTTCTCTCCTCAGGGGGTGCTTGGGAAACAGCCATCCAAGTCTCCACCACATAGGCCCTCGGGCCCAGCAATTCCACCTTCGGGACCTTATCCCACCTCTGGCCCAAGGACATTTCTCCCGCTGTCGGTCCCCACAGGTCGAAAACAACCTGTGTCTGCCACCACGAGAGTGTTCAATAAACTACCTTACAGGCACTCGCCGTGGCTGGCACACGGACGGTAGGGAAAATGACGCCAGCTCCCTGTGTGCCAGCAGGGAACGGCTTCCACCACGTATCCGGGGAGAGGCCAGGCGGGGGGAGGGGGAGCATCTCGTGCTTAGAGAACCAAAGGATCTATGAGCACACGCTTGCACGGCACGGAGTATCTCCAGAAGGACCCCTTGGAAACAGGTGTGCTTTGCATCTGAGGACGCGGGCTCGGACGGGTGGGCAGGGAGCGCACTCACCATGTGCTCCATGCAGATGCTGATCTCACCGTCGCTGTAGAAGGCCCCGTAGAAGCCCACGATGTACGGAGAGTTACACTCGTGCAGCACCTGCAGCTCACGGATGATCTGGTTCCGGATGGCCGGCTTGATTTCCAGGTGGATTAGCTGCGGGGGAAAGCGAAGGGCGCTCACAACCAGGCCTCTGAGGGGCCCAGAAGGAGGGGCCTTTGGCCCCCTGCCCTTGATGTGCACACAGCAGCATTCAAAACTGTGCAATCCACTCCTAGGCATTTACCTAGAGGAAAAAAAAAAACCCACGTCTACACACAAACTTGCACACCTGTGTTCACGCAACAGGACTCACGATTGCCAAAGCGTGGAAGCCACCCAAGTGTCCACCTACAGGTGAACAGATAAACACGCACCCACACACACAGGCACACTACTCCACCAGGAACAGGAGCGAGGCGTCCTTAAGAAGAATTCTCTTCCCACCCAACTGTACGAGTACCGCCTTTCCCAGGACCCAGACCAGGGACGCCCATGACCTCGCCCCTCTCAGCGGGGGTCTGCTTCTGGAACCCTTCCCCCTCCGGGCTGGAGATGACACAGAGGAAGCCTCAAACCGCCACCCGAGGAGGCTCCTAGCTCCCCTTCGACCTGAGTTCAAGTCAGTAGCCGTGGATGGTCACCCACGGCATCACGACGTTCAGATGGGAAGAAACCCGAGGACTGCCTGGAGAGATGCAGGACACAGGAGACAAAGCGCCAAGAGCAATGCCCAACAGGAAAGAGTTGAGGCCGGGACTCCACGTGCTGGCCACTTAGAATCTCAGCTGCTCCGACCATTCCAACACGACAAGAAAAAGGTGATTTCTACCCACCTGTCAGATCAAGGGTGTCTGAACCTGTCGCCACAGATCCTACATTTCATCGGAACCCTGTGATGGGGAGAGGGAATGGCAAAGACTTGCTCGGAGTGGACACGCGCCTGGAAGGACAAGTGGGAGTTGGCCAGACGGATGTGGTGGGGGTGGGTGTTCCAGGCGGGGGGGCAAAATGCTGACTGAGGGCACCAAGGCACAAAGGGGCATGTGCCAAGTTCAGGGAGGCACAGGGTGTGTGTGGGGAGCAACACCCGCTCCCCAATGACCCTGGCCACCTTGAGAACTGCAGTAGGTCCTGGTGGGACAGTGCCCGGGGCTTCTTGCCACTCCCAGCAAAGCTTCATGCCCCCCCTGCAAAGGCAAGCTTTGGCCATGGGTTCCAGGCCCTGTACTCCCCCCAGGGCCACCCCCAGTAGGACCCAGGGATGCTCTCTCCTTTGGTGGGACCACAACTGTGATTTGAGGCCCCCTCACACACGTGAGAGGCTGGGTCTGAAAATGAAACGTTGCGGTCTATGCGGAAGGCAGGAGGTCTGCTCTCAAAAGCCCAGAGAGGACTCATTGAGGCCAACAGACAGACCATGGAGGGTGATGGAGGCCAGCACCAGCCAAGAGAAATACAATAGGCCTCGGGTTTAATTTTAAATCCTCTAGCTGCCACATTACAAAAGTACAAAGAAACAGGTGAAATGACTATTTTTACGTATTTTAACTCAATGTAGTGTATCAAAAAACTACTTTCAATATGTAATCCATGTAAAAATATGAATGAGATAGTCCCATACTGAGCCCTTGAAATCTGGCATCGTATTTCTTTGCACGAACAGCACATCTCAGCTGGACTGACCGCATCTCAAGGGCTCCGTGTCCACAGCTGACCGGGGTAGCTGCTGTGGACACTGCAGCTCTCCACCAAGAACTTCAAAGGAGCCACAGATGAGTGACTGAGCTGGGGAGCGAGAACCCTACAGGCTTCACATAAAGGAAGGGGTGGACAAAGGTGGGCAGCACTGGACAGAAACCCAGAGGTCACCGGAGCCTGGAGTTGGGGCCTTCCACATGAAGTAAGGCCACAGGAAGTCAGAGGCTTTTGGGGAAGATGCAGTAGAGAGGACGCGGGAGCTCATGGGTCCCTTCTACCCGGGCCTGGAGAGCGAGCCTTCCAGATCACTGAGGAGCCATGCTGAGAGCATACGGAGAAAGCAGGCATGGGAAGCAAGGGCACGGTTCTGAGCATGCGTGGTCACACCTCACCCTGACGACAGCCCTTGCGGGGACGGGAGAATTGCCCCCACTGCACTGATGAGCAGCTTCAGGTTCTAAGAGGCTCAATCCTGTTTCCAGGGGCATATGCTGCTGAGTAGTCAAGTCTGCGTCAGGGCCGGGCTCCCAGATCACCAAAACCCACGCTCTCTCCATGCCACCACCTTGGGGTCATGCACACTCCAGGAGCTGCTTACACAGGGATGGCGCAAGGCACTCGAACCCAACACCAAGCCCATCTAGGAGTTTAAGGCGATTTCTACTGCAGAATGGGGGTGCGGGGAGTACACACAAGAAAGAGAGGGAAATAAATTCTGGAGGTGAAACACCGACATCTTCTATCACGTCAGGGCCAACTGCAAAGGGCAAACCTGAGAGGGTTCGAACCCAATTCAGATGCTGACCCACCTCGGCCTGTTTCCTCGTGTGTAAAATGGAGCTGTTGCTCAACTGAAACCAGAACATGACACCGGCTCTGACACGGGGCCGTCACGTGAGGATGGCCGAAGGACCACGACGTGGCCTTGCGGAGTCACAGACCTCCATCAGAGGCAAGCAAGTGCTCAGGGCCCGCACAAACGCGAGGCCCAAACACGCTCCTCCCGCAAGGCCAAGGGAGTCGAGGAAGGCCCGTGCCTGACACACACGCTAACTTCATCATATGGCTCTCCTGGCCTGAGCAATGCAGAGGTTCTGCTCTTCGGGCTCTCAGAAGGATGCAGGAGGAGTCAGAACGCCACGCGTGAGTCAAGAACACATTTACCATCACGTGTGACTGTAAAAATCGAGACCAGTTCACTCGAGGGTTACATAACTGGTCGCCCTGCTCTCCCGGCAGGTCATACTGGTTAGGAAAATCCTCTGCCGATTGAAGGGGCCGCAGGGATGCTGGCAACAAAGGGTGCTGGCCCGCGGGGAAGCCCCACCGCAGCCCCTGGTTTCTAGCCCTGTGGCAGGCTGAATTCGGAGATCTGGTGAGCTTATGGACTCGGAAAGCACGGAATCCATACCCGGCACCTGGGAATTCAGAGGCCACCCAGGGTAGTGGGGAGAAGGACCGAGGCTGGTGTCCCCAAAACCACTTTGCCACGTCAATTTCCCATCGGTGCCTGCAGCTAAATGAAGACAAACTGGCCTCGCGGGTGAACTGGCATTCTAGATAGACTGAAAGGAGCCCTTGACTCCTGGGGACCGGTCGCAAGCTCCTGGGCCATCACGGAGTCACAGCCCGGAGCCACACGACAGCCGGGCGGCCGGCCTTCTTATTCAGCGTGCTCATCAAATGCCTGTGGACACAGCCGCATCCTGTGCGCACTGTGCTGGGCGTGCAGCTGCTCGGGGCTCACACCATGGGGGAGCTTACCACCTACGGAGAACCGCACCGAACGTCCTTCTCCCCCAGATCTCAGACCTACTTTCCTGCAGCTTTTTACTTTGAAAGACTTATGGAGGCTCGGGAAAGCTCTGACACCAGTGTCCTGTGCAGCCTCCACCCCGCTGCCCACGGTGGTGTCTCCTGCGGCTGAAGGATGCTGTGAAACCTGGAAACCTGCAGCGGGCCGGCACCATGACTGCTCGGCAGAACTCACCTGGGCCCCCGGGGTTTACGCCCCCAAATCTGGCTCCGAAGGCTTTCACAGAGTTGCAGAGCAGCTCCCGGAGTCACGCTTACAAGGCGTGTCAGTGCTCCCCTCCCCGCCAGGCGACGGCTCAGCTGGCTCGGGGACACTCCGAGGTCCCCGATGTCGACCTGGGTCAGCACTCTGTTCGCAGCCCCCCTCCCACCCCGTCATCCTCGGAATCTCACGTCTGCCTTTCTAGTCCCTGTTCGCGGGGTGACGGCAGACCCGAGATTTCTGGGGCGGCTCCGGTACAAGAAAGGCTACCCGTGGTGAGGGGACAGAGCCAGGTCTTGGAGGGCAGGCAGTGCTCCGGGGACAGAAGAAATAGCTGCAACACGAAGTCCCAGCGGAGAGCCAGGGCAGCGCCCTCCACCCGGGCGTGGGGTGGCCGGCTTTCCGAGCACACGAAGTGGGGACTACAGGGGGAGCCAGCTCCAGAAGAGCTGGCTCTCCGTGCCCGAGAGAACATGCCTGTAGGAGCTGAGTAATTTGTCACATAAGGTTCCCTGGTTATGTGTTTGGGAGCCACTATCCCCAAAGGGTCACATCCTCCTCTTCTCTACCCGTCCATGTGTCAGGGAGGCTTCTCGACCGCTTAGCTGGGAGCCCGGGTGAGGAAGCCAGTCTGGAACAGTCAGAATGTTTCTGAGAGTGGGACTTTAAGTCCTGGAGGGCAGAGGTCGGGGACGGAAGGGAAGAGCTGCTCGAGGCAGACAGGCCACGTCCTAACCAGAGACCGACTCTCCCTGAGGACGGGGTGAGTGCTGAGTGCTCGGAGCTCAGGGGCCTATCAGAAAGCAGAGGCTTGCGCCTTTCAAACCTCTCTGCCATGTCTGGGGGGGCCTGTCTCACCATGCACAGCGTCAGGGCACAGGGATGGTGTGCCCGCCCTCACCGACCGCCTCTCACCTTTCTCGCCATGATGAGGCCGGAAGGTCTGTGCTGGACCTTGGTGACCACCCCACCGTTCCCGGCTCCCAGCTCCGAGATTCTTTCAAAGTCATCGTCCTTGAGTTCCCCGACCTTGGCCTTCTGGGTGAGGAAGGCTTCCAGTCGCTTCTTCTGCTGCTCGTCGAGTTCTAGCTCCGCTAGCTTCTTCTGGAGGTCCACCAAGTTTGCTCTGCAAAGACCCCAAGGGCAAGGGCTAGTGAAGAATGTGCAAGCTATGGAAAGATGACCGGATCCGGCCAAGCTTATAGGGAGGCTACTCCGTGCCACGCCCCAGGTGTGTCGCTGCAAGGACACGGGGATGGATCAGACACCAGCCCTTCCCTCAGGACCAGCTCTGGTTCAGTGGTGCGAGTCTCAGACCCAGGAGCCCCCCTTCCTGACACGAGGACTCCAGACCACATTGGAAGGAGATGCAGGAATGGCGGGGGGCGGGGGGGCGGTGGAGAAGCTGAGCCACAGATCAGGTGAGTGAAGGTTCAGGCCGGGACTGAGGAGCAAACTTGTTCTGAGTGGTCTCAGGGCCAAGAGCAAGAACCAGCGGGCAGAAGACAGAAATTGCAGGATGTGTGCCTTTAATGCACATGAATGACGCATGAGCACTTGAGGGGAAATGAAGAGGGGCAGAAAGCAAACAGTGCAGACATTTCCAGGGCATGCTGCTCAGCCAGCATACTCTTATGATATGACTCTAAACATTAAGCATTTATATGCACAAACATTCCTGGAGCCAGTCATTAAAAAAACCAACCAGGGGCGCCTGGCTGGCGCAGTCAGTTAAGTATCTGATTCTTGATTTGGCTCAGGTCGTGATCTTGGGTCATGAGATCAAGCCCTGAGTCAGGCTCTGTGCTCAGTGTGGTGTCTGCTTGGGGTTCTCTCCCTCCCTCTCCCTGCCTCTCCCTGCCTCTCCCTCCCCCCCCACCCCCACTCTCTTGTGCTCTCAAAATAAATAATTTTTTTTTTAAGATTTTATTTATTTATTTGACAGAGAGAGACACAGCGAGAGAGGGACACAAGCAGGGGGAGTGGGAGAGGGAGAAGCAGACTTCCTGCAGGGCAGGGAGCCTGATGTGGGGCTCAATCCCAGGACCCTGGGATCACGACCTGAGCCGAAGGCAGACACTTAACCGACTGAGCCACCCAGGTGCCCCTCAAATAAATAAATCTTAAAACAAACAAACAAAAAAAACAAAAAACACCCAACCATGTAAACTGCACTTTATTGGGTGATTCGAGGAATTTCCCAAGGAATTTTGATAGTAGCTATTTTCACTAATGCCTTGACTTTGAACCAAATCCTGGAGTCAAAAGCAGCTCCCCATAACAGGCGGGCAGACATTAGCTCGATGCACACAAGGACTAACCCAGTGCTATCCGAAAGAAATAGTATAAAAGTTACATGTGCAATTAAAATTTTTCTAGCCACGTTAAAAAAAAATATATCAGGTGAAATTAATTTTAACATATTCAACTTAACCCATCAAAAATATAAATTTCAATATGAAATCAGAATAAACAAATTAATGAATATTTTCCTTTTTCTTCATATGAAGTCTTTGGAATCTGGAATGCATATTATCCTTCCAGCTCCCCTGAATTTGGACCGGCTAGCCACATTTCAAGCACTGGCAGTGGCCAGGGGACCAGACAGGGTGGGTAGCTAAGAAAAGCCTCTAAAGGACCTTGGGTGATCCCCAGCCAATTTCTGAGGGCATTTAAGCCCAGGCTGACCCCCAACCTGGGGGAGACCTGATGGGGGGATTCAAGCAGGGAATGAAGGGGGAGACTGGAGCTCTCTCAGGAACCTCCCAATCCTGAAATTTGACTGTAACTAGGCTAGAACTTAGAGGCTTGAGCAAAGGGGCACTGGCTGGGAAGGAGATGAGGAAAGTCATCTGAGCTCCTACAGCAAAGAAGGTGCTAGAAGGCAGGGGGCTAGGTGCCACTTCCTGAGCACATATCAGGGCTTTACAAACCCCACTTTGTTTCACTCTCAAAATCTTCCTGGGATGTGGGTATCTTGTAGTCCCAGCCCACGCAGGAGGGAACAGGCTCAGAGAGGTTAAGTAACTTGCCTGTGGGTCACAATGCAAGGAAGTGGCAGTGCCTGGAATCAACCTGCATCCTTCCGCACTGCAAAGCCCTGCTCATCATGGCATGATGCTGAGCCAGGACTGTGGGCCTACTACGTGCTCCCTGAATGCCTGGTTAACAAAGACCTGGATGAGGAAGGGACGGAGGAGGGAAGGCAAAGGAATGAATGTACATGACAAGCTTCCTTCCTAAACGGTTGAAGAGGTGGCTTTTTTTTTTTTTTAAAGATTTTATTTATTTGTTTGAGAGAGAGAGACACAGCAAGAGAGGGAACACAAGCAGGGGGAGTGGGAGAGGGAGAAGCAGGCCCCCCGCGGAGCAGGGAGCCCGATGTGGGACTCGATCCCAGGACTCTGGGATCATGACCTGAGCTGAAGGCAGACGCTTAACGACTGAGCCACCCAGGCGCCCGAAGAGGTGGCTTTTGAGGCCAGACTCCGCAAAGTCGTCTTCGCACTGCCCTATGAGCTCGAAAATGTGTTCTGGAGTCAGCTGATTAATCCACTTTAAATTTAATAGCGACCCAGCTGTGGTTATAAAAAAAACCCTGGAATTCCAATGGCTGGCTTTCTCTGCAGGGGGAGTTCTGGAAGGGATGGAAATCAGAAACCACGTAAAAGAAAGAAGAGAATGAAGGAGGCGCTCTCCTGAGAAGAATAAGCAGCAGACTTTTGGAAATAAGGAACACATCCCCATGCTGAGCTGCCTGCTCAGAGAAAGATGTCAACTCGCACACACAGGCATCAGACTCTCTCACCGGGGGCGCAGCAGCCATGTCCCCTGAGAGGCACCACACAGGCTGCTCCCCCATCACACCTGGTTCTCAGGGGGTCACACCACAAGCACAGCAAACAGACCCCAGCCAGGGGCCTCTGGAACCATCCTGCTCCTCTTTAGCATGGGGAACAGGAGTGGGGAGATCACAGGGACTTCTTCTGTGGCCAAGGGGTCACCCTCGCTTGACCTCGAAAGTACGTGCCCCTCCCACAATATGATTCCGCCCATCTGGAGACCCCACTGTCCCAGATGCTCCTTCCTGTCCCTTCCCCCCAAGTCCTCCTGTCTGCTTTGGTGCCTGCGGCTCCAGCCCCTAGAGGCTCCTTCTCCTCCTCCCCACCAGGATCCTGCAGTTGACCTCACTACTCAGGGGCCTCGCCTGGCCCTGTCCCCTCAGAGACCCCTCAACTAGTCTTCTCCCCTCAGGGGGTCCTGGCTCATCTTACCCTTCAGGGAGCCCTCAACCACCCTTCCCCTGGAGGGACACTTCCCCCCATTCCTCTCCTCCCAGGAACCCCTTCACCCCATTCTTTGGTATGCAAGGACCTCCACCATCTACCTCACTACTCAGGGACCCACCCAACTCCAATTTCACTACTCAGGGGCCCCATACCCCATCTTTTCCCTCGGGGACCTCCTCCTGCCTTGATTCACCACTCAGACTCCTCCTCCCATCCTCTGTGGGCAGGAACCCTCCCTCAACTCCATTTCACTCAAGACCTCCCACCCCATCCTCTTCACTCAGGGACCCTCTCCTGACCTCAGTCCTCAGGGTCCCGCACCCCATCCTCTCCACTCACGGTCCCCCTCCCCTCAACCTCCCTACTGAGAGCCCCACACCCCATCCTCTCCACTCAGGGACCCCCCCCCCCCCCCCCCCCCCCCGGGCCCCCCCCCCCCCCACCGACCTCACGGTTCAGGGCCCCACAGCCCATCCTCTCCACTCACGGACTCCCACCCCATCTTCGCTCAGGGCCTTTCCGCCCCATCCTCTTCACTGAGGGACCCCCTGCCCCGACCTCACTGCTCAGGGACCCGCACCCCATCCTCTCCATTCAGGGACCTCCTTCCCCCATCTTGCTACTCAGCGCCCCGCAACCCATCCTCTCCACTTAGGGACCTCCTCCCCCGTCCTCACCACTCAGGGAACTCCCACCCCATCTCCTTTCAGGTCCCCCCCTTCTACTGACCTCACTACTCAGGGACCCCCTCCCCTTCCTCACCCCGGCCAAGCCCGGCCCACTCACTCGGAGGCGCCCTCGCTGGTGGGGGACGGGCCCTCGGCGATGGCGGGGTTGATAGTGAGCGCCGGCAGCACCGGCTTCCTCCGGGCCAGCATCGGGGCTCCGCGGGCCGGCGGCGGCGGCACCTCTAACCGGGGCCCATAGGGGGCGGGCCGGGAGCGGGCGGCGCCGAC